CAAGGTCTGGAACTGGATCTTGTTGATGCTCACGGGGTTGTATGTATAATAAGGATATCACGAGCAGGTCTTTTCAACCGGGAAGTTGTGGATCTGGGGCCGGGGCAATTTTAGGTGAGCGCATATGACGTGCGATCCAAGTAAAATTTCATTACCCTGCCGAGGAACCCCACATACTTATATCATGGCTGGAGTGGTGATAGCTGAAGTGAAACATGTGAGAAATGATGTTGGTGGCCGTTGCCCCGCCTGCTATGCTCTGGACGACCGCAGCGCATGCCGGCCGCGGTGACGGACCCCTCCCTGCGCGTCGAGAAAGCGCCACGCTTGCTATGCCCTGGACGACCGTCGTGCATAGTGGCCGCGGTGAGGGACCACCCCCTGCGCACCCCCTGTGGTGTCGAGAAAATGCCGCGCCTGCTATGCAGTGGACGACCGGCGCGCATAGCGGCCGCGGTGAGGGACCACCCCCTGCGCATCCCCTATGGTGTCGAGAAAATGCCAAGCCTGCTATGCCCTGGACGACCGTCGCGCATAGCGGCCGCGGTGAGGGACCACCCCCTGCGAACCCCGTCTGGCGTCGAGAAAGCGCCACGCTTGCTATGCCCTGGACGACCGTCGTGCATAGTGGCCGCGGTGAGGGACCACCCCCTGCGCACCTCCTATGGCGTCGAGAAAGTTCCACGCCTGCTATGCATTGGACGACCAGCGCGCATAGCGGCCGCGGTGGGGGACCACCCCCTGCGCACCCCCAGTGGTGTCGAGAAAGTTCCACGCCTGCTATGCCCTGGACGACCGGCGTGCATAGCGGCCACGGTGAGGGACCACCCTCCGCGAATCCTCTGTGGTGTCGAGAAAATGCCACGCCTGCTGTGCCCTGGACGACCGTCGTGCATAGCGGCCGCGCTGAGGGACCACCCCCTGCGCACCCCCTGTGGTGTCGAGAAAATGCCACGCCTGCTATGCCCTGGACGACCGGCGCGCATAGCGGCCACGGTGAAGGACCACCCTCTGCGCATCCCCTATGGTGTCGAGAAAATGCCAAGCCTGCTATGCACCGGACGACCGTCGTACATAGCGGCCGCGCTGAGGGACCACCCTCCGCGCATCCCCTGTGGTGTCGAGAAAGTGCCGCGCCTGCTATGCCCTGGACGACCGTCGTGCATAGCGGCCGCGGTGAGGGACCACCCCCTGCGCACCCCCTATGGTGTCGAGAAAATGCCACGTCTGCTATGCCCTGGACGACCGGCGCGCATAGCGGCCACGGTGAGGGACCACCCCCTGCGCATCCCCGATGGTGTCGAGAAAATGCCACGCCTGCTATGCATTGGACGACCGTCGTGCATAGCGGCCGCGGTGAGGGACCACCCACTGCGCACCTCCAATGGTTTCGAGAAAGTGCCACGCCTGCTATGCCCTGGACGACCGTCGTGCATAGCGGCCGCGGTGAGGGACCACCCCTTGCGCACCCCTTATGGCGTCAAGAAAGTACAACGCCTGCCACGCTCTCCGACCCTGGCACGCATAGAGGCCGCGTTGAGAGACCACCCTTGCGCACCCCCTCTGGTGTCGAGAAACTGCCGCGCCTGCCACGTGCCCCTCTATGTGGGGCCTGCCACGCTCTCCGACGTGTGGTGTGTGTGTGTGGTGCGATATGGTCACGCCTGCCGTGCCCTGCGCGCTAGCCCTGCGTGCTCTGCTGTGCTGAGCTGTGCTGTGCTGTGCCGAGCTGAGCTGTGCTGTGCTGTGCTGTTCTGAGCTGTGCTGTGCTGTGCTGAGCTGAGCTGAGCTGTGCTGAGCTGTGCTGAGCAGTGCTGTGCTGTGCTGTGCTGTGCTGTGCTGCGCTGTGTGAGAAGGGGAGGAGGGAGGAGGAGGTGAAGGTGAACGCGGGTGCGGCGCTGCAGGGAAGAAAACCAGAACCCCACGAAGCATGTGCGGAATAAACACGACCCAGCTTTGGAATCTGGTTCATTTATAATGAAAGTCGCATGGAACCAACGTGCATTTCGAATTGGCAGTTTTGGGTTAAGCATCTGGTTCGCCCGCATTGAAATTCAGGTGGAACTCAAATAACAATCGGATGAAAGGCTGTGGGTTTTGCAACATGGAATCCTGACGAGTCCGGTTTGGGGATCCGGACGCATCCGATCACGGTCGTTAGGAAATTTCCCAATGGCGCGCGTAGAAGGCGCCTAAGAGGCGGTCCAGAGGCGCTTAGGAGGCGCATTGGAGGCGCTTACAGTGCGCTTGGAAGCTCGAATGAGGCTTGTTGGGATCTCTCCCCTTACTGTTCCATTCCCCGTTGGGATCTCACCCAGTCTATTGAGATCTCATCCATCCCGTTGGTATCTCACCCTCTCTCCCCCAATTACCCCCCCTGCCCTTTCTCCTCATTCTGGTTCCCCCTTCTCTTAACACCTCCCTGACATTACTCCCCCTCTGTCCTCAACAATTCAATCAAACAATATGAACACTACTCTCCCTCCTCCCCTGAAGCTGTCTGGAAGAGCTCCTGCCCGTCCGCGTGTTTTTTGCACAGGATTTCAAACGTTGATTTGTTCTCCTGGTTTCTTTCCGATCGAATTGTTTTCAGTGTTTCAAAATTGTGTTCCCGTTGAAGCCTTGGCCCCATTTTTGGATCGGCGCGTTGCTCCAGTCGTTTAGAATGGCGCTCTCGCCCCAGCGTTGGCCATGTTTCTGGATCTGAGTCTTGCTTCATTGTGATCCAACCCATCGCTTCCCCTCCGCCACCTTTTCCTGGTCCTCCTGTTCCTCCCGCTCCTTCCACTCCAGTTCCTGCTGCTGCTGTTCGTCTCGCCCCAGCGCGGGCCGTTCTTTCTGAATCCGTGTCTTTCTTCATCGCGGTCGCCCCCTTCATTTCTTCTCATCCGCCTTTTCTTGGATCTCCGTTCCCTCCCGATCCTTCCGCTTTAGTTATTGCTGGTGTTGCTGTTCATCCTCATCCTCTTCCTCCCGCTCATGATCCTGCTCACCCGCCTTCTTCCTCCTGTGCCGGCAGTTCCCTTTCCGATGGCTCATAACACGAAGTTATCTTCCTGTGTGAGTCGCAGGTCGGCTGTGACACGCGTCCGCGGATCGAGAAACATCGACGCCATGGGAAGGGATGGGAGGAAGGGCTAGGATGTCAGGTGAGGCGCGAGCGCATCTCGCTTGCCCTCTCCCCCTCTCTTTCACCGCCCCCTCCTCCATGCATCCTCCCCCCATCTTCCCCCTTGCCCCCCTCCTTCCTTACATCCCCTCCCCCCCGTCCACCTGCCTGTCCAGCCCTCGTCCCCCTGCCCTTCTTCTCTCCGATCACTTCGCCCCCATGCTTAATGCGCGACCCCTGCTCCTCCCCCCCCGCTCCCCTCCTTCCCTCACTCCCCCGATCTCTGGCCTGGTGGTATGTGGGCGCCCCTGTGCTCCTGCATGCCAGAAAACATACCTTGCGACGTATCCAACTTTTCTATACATGTGGCGACTATACTCAGGATCACTCAATGCTGACTGGCATTCTGAAGGACTCGCAGTGCGCAAGAAGAGCACCCAGCAGTGAGTGATTTCAGAAGAGCGCAGCAAGAAGAGCAGCGGCGAAAATACAGAACGCACACAGAAGGGGCGTTTGTGGTCCGCGTATGACGTACCTCCGCTGGGCCTCCCAGGAACCCACGAAAATGCCGACAGTTGCGCAGATCGCAGCCCCCCAGGGCACCGCGAGCTATAGTAGTGGTCCGCGCATGACGTACCTCCGCTTGGCCTCCCAGGAGCCCACGAAAGTGCCGACAGATTCGCAGATCGCAGCCCCTGAGGGCACCGCGAGCTACAGTGGTGGCCCGCGTATGACGTACCTCCGCTGGGCCTCCCAGGAGCCCATGAAAGTGCCGACAGTTTCGCAGATCGCAGCCCCCCCAGGGCACCGCGAGCTATAGTGGTGGTGCAGACAGTTTCGCAGATCGCAGCCCCCCAGGGCACCGCGAGCTATAGTGGTGGTCCGCGTATGACGTGCCTCCGCTGGGCCTCCCAGGAGCCCACGAAAGTGCAGACAGTTGCGCAGATCGCAGCCCCCCCAGGGCACCGCGAGCTACAGTGGTGGTCCGCGTATGACGTACCTCCGCTGGGCCTCCCAGGAGCCCACGAAAGTGCCGACAGTTTTGCAGATCGCAGCCCCCCAGGGCACCGCGAGCTACAGTGGTGGTCCGCGCATGACGTACCTCCGCTGGGTCTTCCAGGAGCCCACGAAAGTGCCGACAGTTGCGCAGATCGCAGCCCCCCAGGGCACCGCGAGCTATAGTAGTGGTCCGCGCATGACGTACCTCCGCTGGGCCTCCCAGGAGCCCACGAAAGTGCAGACAGTTTCGCAGATCGCAGCCCCCCAGGGCACCGCGAGCTATAGTAGTGGTCCGCGCATGACGTACCTCCGCTGGGCCTCCCAGGAGCCCACGAAAGTGCCGACGGTTTGGCAGATCGCAGTCCCCCCAGGGCACCGCGAGTTAAAGTGGTGGTCCGCGTATGACGTACCTCCGTTGGGCCTCCCAGGAGCCCACGAAAGTGCCGACAGTTTCGCAGATCGCAGCCCCCCAGGGCACCGCGAGCTATAGTGGTGGTCCGCGTATGACGTACCTCCGCTGGGCCTCCCAGAAGCCCACGAACGTGCCGACAGTTTCGCAGATCGCAGCACCCCAGGGCACCGCGAGCTATAGTGGTGGTCCGCGTATGACGTACCTCCGCTGGGCCCCCCAGGAGCCCACGAACGTGCCGACAGTTTCGCAGGTCGCAGCCCCCCAGGGCACCGCGAGCTATGGTGGTGGAGCACAGGAAACAAGAGAGAAGGAGGAGGGGAGGAGAGGGGGGAAGGAGAGGAGGAGGTGGAGACCACACTGCTCTATCCGAGACGAGTACCCAACATAGGAGGGTTGGGAAAAAAGTCAAAGACGCTCACAGAAGTTCTCGATCCTCGATCCTGCTTCTTCCACCCCCCTCAATAACTCTATTGTCGCACAGGTGTACCACTCTCAGCAGCACGCCCTCGAGGCGAAGCTGAGGCTGAAGATGACGGAGGCGGCCGCCTGGATAGCGCGGTCCCGTCGTGACCCCTCCTCCTCCTCCTCCTCCTCCTCCTCCTCCTCCTCCTCCTCCTCCTCCTCCTCCTCCTCCTCCCCCCTTCTTCCATGGGTCGCGCGGGCCCGTCGTGACCCCTTCTTCATGATCATCATAGTTTGCGATTCCTCTGCGTCTTCGAGGGTCGAGAATCAACGCTTTTGGGTTCCTGGAGGCTCCCGGTGACCCGCCCCCAGCTTGCGACGCCGTTTTGGAGCCTCTGGGGCCCTATGGGCTTCGTGAGGCTTGCTCTGTAGGTTGTGCACCGAGTGGCGCCCCTGGAACTTCTGGGGACGCCATGCGCCAGGGAACCCTTCGGCCCCTCAGCAGTGCCCGACCAGGTGCCTCTGGAGAACGAGGAGGAGGAGGAGGAGGAGGAGGAGGAGGAGGAGGAGGAGGAGGAGGAGGAGGGGCAGGAGGAGGAGGAGGAGGAGGAGGAGGAGGAGGAGGAGGAGGAGGAGGAGGAGGAGGAGGAGGAGGAGGAGGAGGAGGAGGAGGACGACGACGACGAGGACGACGAGGAGGAGACGCGGACGCCCCCCGTGCCGTGCCCCCCGGCCGCCCGCCGCAGACGCCACCGCGGCCCCACCACAGGCGAAGTCCCTGCGGAAGGCCAGCTCCGACAGGCAGGGGGCCGACCTCATCAGCAGCCTGGAGATGGAGGACGGGCGCCAGTCACAGGAGGTTGGCAGGAGTAGGACGAGGAGGGAGGAGGAAGAGGGAGGAGGAGGGAGGAGGAGGAGGAGGGGCAGGGGCAGGAGGAGGGTCCTGAGGGCTCTGATGAGACGGCTGGTGCGAACAGCCCTGGGACGCGGCCCGCGCCCACGCCGACGGCAAGCGGGGTCGAGCGCCGCCGACAACTCGGGGCACTCGACCGAAAAGCATAGGGTATGGACGCAGCAGTTTCCCTACCGTCACGAGTGCGCCCCCGACGACTCGGGGGCCTTCGCCGAGCCCGACAACTCGGGCCCGGCGGGTTGAGATATGCGAGGCACCCGAGCGCGACCTGCGAACGGCGAGGCACCTCACGGCTGGGAGACCGTGGCAAGCATGGATCCTATCTCTTGCTTGGCCTTCGCCTTGTCTGAGCTGAGGGTAGAGTCAAAGTAGAGAGGGCCCAGCACTGCTCCAATTTCGCGAGGAGCTGCTCGGCGGTCAACTCATCGCCGTCCTTGGCACCGACAGCAGTGCTGTCGGCGATCACGTCCTGATTGACAGCGAAGGAGGGCCAGAGCGGCACCGAAGGCAGGTCAAGGATGCCGCTTCTGAAATCCTCCTCGTCGTCGAGATCGCGCACGTCAGAGCCCGAACCACCGCCACCAACGTGGCCGTAGGAGAGCCCTGCGCCACGGGATTCGGCCCGTGGTCCTTCTCGTCGCCTTCCCCGTTGTTCACGGCGTTGCCAAGCGAGTCGAGGCCCCAGAAAACGCTCAGCTCGGCGGCATACTCGTCCTTGAAGTTCGTGAGGTCCTTGGCGTTCCCTTCAGTGGGGACACAACCGCGATCATGAACGACATGGCGCCAGGAGGAGGAGGAGGAGGAGGAGGAGGAGGAGAAGGGGCAGGAGCAGAGGAGGACGAGAGGGATGAGGGAGGAAAGGGGGACGCCTCGGGAGAGCGCCAGAGTGAGGGGGGCGAGGATAGTTCACGAGGGATGGGGGAGGGCTCTGGAGGGTTTCGGCGAAGCTGGAACCTCGAATCTGCCTGCGCGCCTTATATGTTTTCCCCAACCATCCCGTGGCGTTGGGTCCTCGTTTTGAAGAGAGCGCCCCGCGCTCTCCTCTCCTCCTCGCCCTCCTCCTATTCATCCTCCCCCTCCATCCTCCATCCTGCTCTCAGTCATGCTGACTCCATCCTCCATCCTGTTCCATGTCGGCACACCCCTCACACGCTTCGTTGCCCCATCGGGAGCTCCACCGAAGGCCCCAGTGGCAGGGTTCGCATGCGTCCCCCCGCCTATTTCGGCACACCCTCACATGTTTCGTGGCCCCATAGAGAGCTCTACCGAAGGCCCCGACAGCAGGGTTCGCATGCGTCCCCCCGCCCATTTCGTCGCATCATTCACACGATTCTTGGCCCCATAGGGAGCTCCACCTCAAGGCACCAGTGGCAGGGTTTGCATGCGTCCCCCCGCCCATTTCGGCACACCCCTCACACGCTTCGTGGCCCCATAGAGAGGGAGCTCCGCCGATGGCCCCAATAGCAGGGTTCGCATGCGTCCCCCCCGCCCATTTCGGCACACCCCTCGCACGCTGCGTGGCCACACACGGGGGCTCCACCGAAGGCCCCAGTGGCAGGGTTCGCATGCGTCCTCCAGCCCATTTCGGCACACCCCTCACACGTTTCGTGGCCCCGTAGGGAGCTCCACCGAAGGCACCACTGGAAGGGTTCCCATGCGTCCTCCTGCCCATTTCGGCACACCCCTCACGCGCTTCGTGGCCCCATAGGGCGCCCAAACGAGGGTCCCAATGGCAGGGTTCGCATACGTCCCCCCGCCCATTTCCGCACACCCCTCACACGTTTCGTGGCCCCACAGGGAGCTCCACCGAAGGCCCCAATGGCAGAGTTCGCATGCGTCCCCCAGCCAATTTCAGCACACCCCTCACACACGTTTCGTTGCCCCATAGGGAGGTCCACCGAAGTCTCCAGTGGCAAGGTTCGCATGCGTCCCCCCGCCCATTTCGGCACACCCCTCACACGTTTCGTGGCCCCTTAGGGAGCTCCACCGAAGGCACCACTGGAAGTTTTCGCATGCGTCCCTCCGCCCAGTGTAGCGCCCCCCTCACACGTTTCGTGGCCCCATAGGGAGCTCCACCGAAGGCCCCAGTGTCAGGGTTCACATGCGTCCCCCCGCCCGTTTCGGCACGACCCTCACACGCTTCGTGGCCGCATACGGGGCTCCACCGAAAGGCACAAGTGGCAGGGTTCGCATGCGTCCCCCCGCACATTCCGGCACACCCCTCACACGCTTCGTGGCCCCATAGGGAGCGTCACCGAAGGCTCCAATTGCAGGGGTTCAGCCACGGCGCCCATTTCGGCACACCCCTCACACGCTTCGTGGCCCCATGGGGAGCTCCACCGAAGGCCCCAGTGGCAGGGTTGGTATGGCGCCACCGCGCCCATTTCGGCACACTCATCACGCGCTTCGTGGCCTCATAGGGAGCTCCACCGAAGGCGGGGCTCACAACTGCGGTGCTCACAACTTACACGGTTGGGTCCTTCGCCAGGATTATTTATCCTCCATGCCTTGTCCTTATGCCTAACTTCTCCTTGTCGCACCCCGAGGCCAGTTTTTAGGGCGGACCGGGCGTTTCGCCTGAGAGTTCCTCACCATTTAAAACATTGAAGCTTTAACATTGGAGCTTCACAGATGGAGGGTGGGTCGTTTTCAAAATGTGGCTCTCGTCTTTATCAGCGCCGCGCACGTTCGTTTTTTGTAGCTTCTTTTCTTCAGCAATGCAAGAGCTTCACGGCTTGTGGGCGGGCCGTTTTCAACGTGTGGTTCTCGATTCAGCGCCGCGCACATTCGCTTTTTAAGATGTTCAAGAGCTTCGCGGATTGAGGGCGGGTCGTTTTCAACATGTGGCTCTCGCCTCAGCGCCGCGCACATTCGCTTTGACATTTGCAAGAATTTCACGCATTGAGGGCGGCTCCTGTTCAAACTGTAGTTCTCGCCTTGGCGCCGTGCACATTTGTTAAAAGTTGCAGGGGGTTCACGGATTCCCATGACCAGATGATGTTTTGGAGGGATTCAGGATCAGGGTTATGAGCTTGCAACAGAAAAGTTGACTCGCTGACTTGAAGTCCCAGGAATGGCGTTCTGGCAACATTCCGGATCGTCAGGACGCAACAGTCAGGTTGTTCCGTGGCGTTGGAATCCCGAGAACAATTTTTTGGCATGCTTCAGGGTCTTCAAACGGTTGTCTTCCAACGAGGCAGTTCCCTCAGTGGAAATGAACCGTTGTATGGGGCCTATGAAGAGGGAGCTTGGAGGGAGGGTTTCTTCCAACATCGTTGATGACTCTTGGGTTCACACTGGTCCTCCTCCTCCTCCTCCTCCTCCTCCTCCTCCTCCTCCTCCTCCTCCTCCTGAGCCTCGACAAAGCCGTAGCGCACCGTGAGTCCGACACGCCTCGATGCCACTTGCGCCACCACGCCAGCGCGCGTGGGGGGCGACCGCTGCCACTTGCGCCCCCGACGCCGCTGACGTGGGTGGCGCCCGACTGCCGCTTGCGCCACCGCCCGCAGGGGCAGACGGGCGGCGCTCACCAAAAGCCAGACTCCGAGGCTTCACCCACCCTGGGGGCCTCGGGGGCAACAAGAGACTGAACAAGGCTGTGCCGCTCCTTGCCGATCGAGACACGTCCTCTGGCGAGACTGGCCAGCGCGCGAGCACCCCGGGAGCCGCGGGTTTGCGGCCCTGGGCGGGGAGGAGTGAGGAGGAAGGAGGGAGAAGGGAGGAGGGAGGAGGAGGAGGAGGAGGAGGAGGAGGAGGAGGAGGAGGAGGAGGAGGCGAGGGAGGAGGCGGAGGAGGAGGAGGAGGAGGAGGAGGCGGAGGCGGGAGGAGGAGGAGGAGGAGGAGGCGGAGGAGGAGGCGGAGGAGGAGGAGGAGGAGGCTCAGGGAGGGCGCTCCCTGGCGAACCTGGCCGAGACGATCGTCCCCCCCCCGCCCAACCGCGCGCGGCACGCCGCCGACCTCCCGCACCAGCAGCGCGCACGTGCGCAGCGTCAGCACGTGAGATCACCGGAGGGAGGAGGGAGGAGTGAGGAGGAAGGAGGGAGAAGGGAGGAGGGAGAAGGGAGGAGGGAGGAGGAGGAGGAGGAGGAGGAGGAGGAGGAGGAGGAGGAGGAGGAGGCGAGGGAGGAGGCGGAGGAGGAGGAGGAGGCGGAGGAGGAGGAGGAGGCGGAGGAGGAGGAAAAGGAGGAGGAGGAGGCTCAGGGAGGACGCCGGGGCGACGAGGGGAAGAGCGGGCGCGGCCTGCTGCTGCTGCAGCCTGCTGCTGCTGGCGGCCCGCCTCGAGGCACGGAGGGCGCCGAGGTCGGCTAGGGGCGGCCCGATCTGGGCCGTCCAGGCGGCCCAGGAACGTACGGCTTTGGCCCGGCTCTCGAAAGCAAGGCGAGCGTCTTCGGGAATGCGAGGCCTCGAGCACTGCCACTGAGCCCACTCGTCGGCCAAGGCGCTGCTGCTGGCGGCCCGCTTCGAGGCACGGAGGGCGTCGATGTCGGCCAGGGGCGGCCCGATCTGGGCCGTCCAGGCGGCCCAGAAACGTACGGCTTTGGCCCGGCTCTCGAAAGCAAGGCTCGGGGGTGGACAGAACCCCCAACAGTGCCACGTCGGTTAGTGAGATGTCCGTTTTCGGTTCTCGAGATGGCGCCGTGGCCGTCATTTTCCAGGCTTGCGCCCGCCAGGTTTGGGCCTCAGGTCGTTTTCACTAAAAACGTTTTACTAAAGGGGGGTCTGTCCATCCCCGAAAGGCGAGCATCTTCAGGGATACGAGGCCTCGAGCACTGCCACTGGGCCCACTCGTCGGCCAAGTCGTTCCCTTCTTTCAGCCACTCGGTAGTGCGTCCACTCTGCGCAGCAGCACGCGTGCAGTGCGCACGCACCTTAACAACATGCACGTGCTCGATCCCCCCAGTCCTCCACCCGCTCCCACACTTGGA